GGGCTCAAGCGAGTCTCTTGCCTCCGCCTCCCAAGTAGCTGGGACCACAGGTGCCCACCACAATGCCTGGCTATTTTTTGGTTGCAGCCGTCATTGTATTTGGCAGACCTGGGTTGGATTCGAACTCGCCACCTTAGGTGTATGTGGCTGGCGCCTTAGCCATTTGAGCCACAGGTGCCGAGCCTAAAAGGAAATATTCTACAGAGTAAAGGGCAAAAGACAAACAAATCACAAAATAATAAATACAACTGACCAAAACAAAACAAAAGGTTTCATTAGAAATTGAAGAGATACAAATTAAATAAGTTATCATGTGTTTCTATCAAATTTATTACCCTGTAGAAAATTATAAGATCCAATGTTGGTAAGAGTATGTAGCCCTCAGACACTGCTGAGGGAACAATGCCAAGTCTGGAAATTCATGCTAGGGAAATAATTAAAGATGTGGGCAAAACGTTATGTAGAAGAAAAACACTCAAGTTGACTCATGATGAGTGAACTGGCATTGGATATAAATGGAAATACAGGACATTTTGGTCAGACAAAAGACCACCAAAGCACAAGTGCTCTTAGAGCACTGGAACACCCCTTCCATATTGTAGAAGAAGCTTCTGGCAGCAGCACGGGATTGTTTATGGCTTTTGCTAACCTTTTCTTGACCTTTGACTCTGTGGTCTGGGACCAGTTATAGGCTAAACTGTAAGAATACAATATAGACCTGTAAGCACTGATGGATTTATAAAACTGTAGCTTGAAATGACCACAGCATCAGGGCTTATAGAATTGCTCTACAATGAATGAAATAATTTCCACAAGAAAGAGGAGTGCAATGACTCCTCCTCTTCTTCTCTAATTTGCACTTTACTGACTTGATGTCAACATTGGATGAGCTAAAGCACCCCCTCATCTCCCAGCAGAGGAGGATGGGAAAACCACATGCGTATAGGAACCCACAAGCTCACTTCTGCCCATTCCGTGGCTGCCCAAGCCCAAGCCCTGCCTGACTCCAACTTCTTCCTTATCTATCTCATGCCATCCCTGCACAGCCACCAGGCCACAAACTAAGGGACACTCTGAGTCATCCTCTACCTGCCCACTGTCTACCATGCAGGGCACCCTGTCCTGTCCCTGCCCCCAGCATGTGAAGGACAGCTCCTCAGGAGGCACTGAGAAGGACCTTTATAAAGGGCTCTCAGGCAGTGTCAAGGTACTACTTGCAGCTATGAGAATTTGGGTAAATGATTTAAACTCTCCATGTCCAGTCTGCAAAATGAAGGTAAGATAAAAATCTAGGCACTGTAGTCAGGTGAAAAAGCAGGGAGTTTTTAAGACAAGAAGAAATCACCAGGCTTTAGCCTGGCTTCCAGCCTATGGTCAGAATTCTTCTCCAGCAGAGGTGAGAGCAGGTTGCCTTTATCATCCTCCTTCTATCCAGCCACTCCTCTAGCAGTCAGCTATTTGTATCTATGACAGTGCTGAGAGAGACTGGAGGTACAAATTTAGATTTGCTCAAAGGCTTGTGTGAGCCCCAAGTTGTTGACCTTGGCCTCCAGAACAGAGCTGGGCTGTGCACTGACTGGCTGAGCTAGCCAGCTGCCATCCACAAGAAGGGCCTTAGACTACCAACCCATTGCAGCCGGACCCCTGAGACTTTTTCTGCATTCTCAAGTTCAATTCCCTGCACTGGCTAGGTGCCATGTGGCCTACTTCTGCTTCGGCCCTCAGCCCTAACCCCCACCAAATTCCAGGATGGGGACCAAAGCCAATTCGGTACCCAGACCACCCTCTGTGGGAGCTACATTTGTGAAAGAACCCATAACTGTATCCTAGCTCTGCCTGTGTCTCTCCTAGGATTCACTCCTGAGTTCGGGGTGTGTTGTCCAGGGATGCCCCCTCCCCAGGAGCCCAACTCACCTATATCGTCCTCCATGTCTTATGGCTCCCAGCTCTTGCAGGGCAGGCCTTGCCCCTTTGGCTCAGAGTTCTCTGATCCTATGGCTAGGGCTGGCCAGATTTCCAGCTAAGAAACCCCCAAGGCCAAAGAGGCTGCTTCTGCCTCATTTGCTAATGGAGCTGCTGCTTTTATTGGATCATCACTTTTTCAAAGCTTGATGGGGGGAGGATTTTAAAACATTCTCTCGGTAGGTCACAGGAGCCACACCCGATCTTCACTGCAATTGGGGCCCTGCTCTCTCCTCTCCCCACATGACAGCCCTTGCTTAGACTGGGAGCCAGATGAACACAGAATGTGACAAACATTGTCCTAGGTGGGGAGCCTCTGACCACTCTGACAGGTGGGAGACTCAGACCAACTTTAGGGAAGTAGATTGGGACAGAGGAGGGGGTTTCCCCAAACAAAATAACTTATTTTAGTCTGATAGGAAAGGGGTCGCAAAGGAGTTTTCCTGGTTTGCCTTCAGAGTGAGATCTATAGGTACCAGCACCTTTAAAGGGACTTCAGAGGACACCCAGAATAAGTCTTTTAGATGGAGTAACAGTTCTTTGTATTGAGACGTTGTTCTAGTCCTAAAACAATCTTACAAGTTTTAATTATTCTTATTAAAACTTATAATAAGTTGTATTATTCTTCTTTCACAAGTAAGAAGGTTAAGTGAGCTCCCAAGGACATACACAGCCAGAAAGCCATAGAGCTATATGAGTCAAGGGCAGATGGACAAGACTTGGAGGCTCAAGGATTGATCCCTTGGACACACCACCAAGTGCATGTCCAGTCTCTGCCTGCACACTCCCAGCTCCATGAACAACTCTGACCTTGCTGTGATTGTAGCTTGGAGACTTCCAGGGATGAAATCATGGGAATGGAGGGGAGAGGCTAAATCTAATTCATAAAGCAGAAACCAGAAGAAAAGAGAATCAGGCAGCTGGATAGGGGGAATGGGGAGGGGATATTTTCCTTTTCTTCTTTCTCCAATACTCCTCAGATCAGCCAGCTTCCCCCAAACCCCTTATATACTATTTGGCAGGGTCGTACAAGGCATTGCCCATATGAGACTGTCGACCACACTAATGAGTGGAGGGAAATGATGGGCTGAATCTAGCCTGGCCACAGGTTTAATAT